AACTCTGATCGTCGACTACACTAATACTTACAATTAAAAGTTCTAATACATAAAATCTAATTTGGGGGTACTCTAACTTTCTAATCCTATAGCATCATCAAAATCTAATTACATTTATTCCTTACACATATTTATGCACAAATATAGATTAAAATGAAATTTCTTTGTCTCCGACTAGGCACCCGCCTAGCCTCCTAGGCGCTAGGTGCTGGGCTGGCGCCTGACTAGCGCTTAACGTCTTTTAGAACATTGATTTTAGTCCTACAGTGAATGATTTCCTCTGTATAATATGATAAGAAACAATTAAATAAATAAATGACAAAAGTGTAATTCATCTAGCAACGCATAGTTCTAAAGTCAATTTGGAGCATTCAGAAATACTTTTGCACTTTTACTCAAGCACTCTAATATTTGTTTCTTCTCTATGAGGGAATAGAAGCAATTTTGATAAGTAGATCCAAACACCTCCTAAAACATCAAAGTTCAAAACTAGGATTAAGTGTGTTTTATTCCCCAAATAAGACTTATTTAGTCCTACTAAAAGAATTAGTTGATTAAAGCAATTATATTGAAATAAGAGTGAATGAATTCCTTTTTGGAAATAAAACAAAGATAGTCCTAGTTATGAATTTAATCATTGTTTTAGTCCTATTTAGGAAATTCTCTCGTAGGTTATTGGAGCTTGCTTAGCTTCACGCACCCACACAATTACTTTATGTAACCTATTTTTTTATTAAAATTAAATATGCTGAGCAGTTAACTACTCATTTAAAATATACCGAGTATCTGGCCATTTAGAGTAACAATGTTTGTACTTGATTGGAATTTTTTGGCCTCGGCTTGTCTTATCTGATCTAGTCTGGGCTGGTTTAAATTGTTCTGGTCTTGTCTGATAAATGTCTATTCTCTATGCATTATCTACAATGTAACTATCCAGATCTGATCTGATCTATTTAAGTGTCATCTGGTCTAATCAAGACTGAAATACGTCCAATTAAAAACATCCTAATATATAGTACGATGCTGAAATCTAGTCAACTGTCGCATGTCTTGCATGTTTTTTAAATAAATTTACTGTTTTAATTATTTTTACTTTGTTTGCTTCTTAATACTTGAGTGTTTTCCAAAATTATGTTGAATAAAAGATTATTTATGTACTCTTCCGATGCACGGGGTAAACCTTGGCGAAAATTAATGGTTCCAAACTTCTTCACTTCCACCCAAATACTCCAACATCTGTTTCTACTCTTTTGAAAAATCAGATTCAAACACCCTCTATACATAGTGTTAGGAAGGAGGAATGTGTACCCAATCGGTTATCAAATGCACTAATTCGGAAGGTGAGTTTTTGCATCATACCCAATCAGATATGTGAGTTAACCTGATCCTAAAATACTGCTTCCCTATACCAATTCATGCTCATCTGCCACTCTTGGATGACTACATTAGTGTGCCTCCTACATCTTCAACGTTTGCCGACTGGTTTCAATTCCACCGCCGTTGCTTCTAGGGGTGCGCACAGTCCGGGGTGAACGAGATTTGGATTATCCTAATAGATGTCCCGAATTAAAATAAAGGTTTAGATCGAATGGGACGGGACAAGACATTGTTCTATTATTGTCCCATTTAAATCGATACCGAAACAAAACGGGACTTACTGGAAAATATCTACTATAGATTAATTGCATCACAAAAAAGGAATGTAATTTGAAATAAAAGAAAAACAACAGAAAACAACAAGACAAACAAAATGCAACACGAAAAATACAATAGTTCCCAATACATCAACCAAAACTTAACAATATAATACTTTCCTGTTTCCATGTTCCTTAAACAAATTCATCTTTGAATTTTTTTGGCAACACTACAAGAAAAGTGCACATAGACTGCACATGGACCACAATTTTTTTGCGATAGCAGCATAACTGTCGTTAAAAACACCATTAATCACACATTTTTATATTTACCACACAGAAAAATGTGGTAAAAGCTTAGAGACGACAGTTTTTAACCGTGACCAATGTTTTTACCACAGCTGTTGTGCCGACGCACGTAAAACTGTCGCAAATATGTCGTAAAAACATAAAGAGGAACTTCACTGTCTTTGTTTTTGGGCACGACATATTTAACCGTGCCCACCCTAGTTGCTTCCTACGCCGGTTCCGCCTCCACCGTCTTTGTTTCTCTTCGCCGATTTACCTCCACCATTGATGCCTTCTTCTCCCATCTAAAATGCAACTTTTTCTTTTTTTTTTCCTGTAACTTTTCAATCTCTATATTGTATTTTTAAATATTTTTATAAAAACACCAGGAAATGTTCCCCGGCACTTCCTCCACCATGAGTGGTTCGCTCCGGGCTTTAAAGAAAAATCCTGCACACAATCCACAGTTCCATTTAAACGAGTACGTGTTGTATGCAACATCCATTATTGGTATTCTTGAAGATACTTCTTGAAAACTGGAAAATGAAAACAGAAAATTGAAGAACGGATAACAGAAGTAGAAAACGGGAAAATATCGGTGTTAGTAAACAAGCCCTTTGCCTTATGTTTTTAAAGAAAAAATGTTATAGCATAATTATGTACACTTGCCACACGCGATCTATATTTCACATGATCATTCTTTCAATTACGAAATCCGTTCCTCACAAACACATTATCTCCATATATCTTTCCTTCTTTCCCATGAAAAAAGCAACATCAAAAGCAAAAAAAGCGACACCTAAACATACATATTAAGTTTTCAAAATACTCGTCACTAATAATTATTAGTGAAAACCTAATACTCCCTCCGTCCTGAATTATAAGATACTTTTCGATTTATGATGTTTGACCAACGATAAAGTAAACAAATCATTGTCTGCACTCAAATTATTTTTAGAAAAAAAATACATATTCAGAAACTACATTAAAAGTTTTACAAAGTCGCAAAAAACTGAATCAAATTTGATAAAAATTTGATATATAAACTAAGAGCATCTTTAATGGGTCTGTCTATTCTTAAAAATGCATAGCCACGTAAATAAAAATGGAAGGAAGGTAAAAAAGTCTTCTCCAACGGAGTAGTGAATTTGTCTTATGCTGCTGAGCTGGAACAGAAAAAAATCCAGACCCACTACCTCACTGTCGACTTTTAGCAAGGCTCCTCCAAGACGTGACTAAGCAATCAATTAATTTTTTGCAAAAATTCTGGAGGCCTAGCGATAAAGTTTCGCTAGAATCGTACAATATGTTGTAGGTTTGAAAACGTCTCATTAAATTCCTTTCCATGCTTCTTTGAGTTGTGCGGTGCAGGGCATATATCTTCTGGATTAGATCAAGCTTTTTCTAGAAACTTTTGCTAGAAACGTTTTCCCATCTTTGATGTATTTTTCTAGAATCCATATTTGTGTTTAATTAATTGGATGAATGAATTAGATGAAAGGAAAATTACTACGTATATATATTATATACTAGTATTATATACTACGTATATGTGTGTATCGTAATATATAGATAGATGCAGTTCCGTGAAGGGATACGTATGACTAATTTTGATATTCAGGTGTGGATGCATTGGAGAGGAAGTTTTATTTTAAATGTGTGTGGATCCACCTCAGCTCCACGGACTATGGTTATCAGTGACATGTCCATTTTATATGAGGTACAATCCATTTTCCCATTAAAGATATTCTAAGATATTAAAAGTGATTTGTATTGACCAAATGAATAATCAAGATATCTTATAAAATAGGACCGAGGGAGTAATTAGGTTTTCATATTCCTTGATGACCATGATCTCTCTTACACCACACATTGGCCATTTTTTCTCTTCTGAAATATTACTCGACGTAAAAACTCCATAACAATGAGTAAGTTAATCTACAACATATTTTCTCTTTCAATATATTCAAAAAAACAGTTTTAAACTTTCCATGATGTTTTTTTATGAGAATAGCCCAATTAATGCTCTATGTTTGAGAAAACGGAAAACTTTTGGTTTTAAATAGATATAAAAGGTAGGAAAATAAACATTTTTTGCTAATAAGCTGATGGTTTTTTGGTTTAGACTTTTGAAACACATATCTCAAAGCAATTCCCACACTTCCACACTCTGCACAATTTATTTTATAACAACAAATTGATCATCACACCCTTTGATCCATGCTTTTGTCAGCAGTAAAAACACACAGACCGAGCCGAACAACACATACAAATGAAGCAAGCATCCATTGAAACCCATTAACTATTGTATCTGTTTCACGAAAAACTCAATCTTTGTTTCAGAATATGGAGGCATGCCGCATGCATAAAGCAAATAAAATGATAGTTGTGGATATGGAAGAACAGTGAATTATCAAATCCGAGGTAGCAGAGAGCATAGGCTCCTTCCAATGTAGTAAATGTAGAAACAAGTAATTGGAAAAGTGGGAAAACAAACCAGACATAACTTTTACGGTTAGTTTTTTATAATCCCATGTCAAAAGAGTGCAAAATAAAATTTTGAATTTGAATGATATATGAAGCCTAGGCTGTGTAGAATTATTGTTTGAATAATTTCTTTTAGTCGCCAGGGATATTTGTGGTGCACAACATTATGGTTTTGGACCCCAACTGAACTACCTACTTTCTCCGAGTGGTGAACCCTGCACATAATAAAGCTCAAGGCTTTTACTTCCCAGGAGCTTTACTGGAGCATTACAAACGCTGAATAAACTTGCTCCATTGGAAATGCTACATAGTTAATGAGTTGTGCTTTATTTTGTATTTGCAATTTACTTTTAATATTTCTCATCAGCTCATCTAACCAGTTATATTTTTTCCAGGGCTCTTCTTCTCTTATAGTGTTGTCCCTCTACTAATTATGATTGGAAAGCATTAGCTGATCTTTCTCTAGAACAAAAATGGCTAGATGGACATTTACTCTCGATTCTCAAAGCAGTGAGGAAAAAATCACAATAATAATGGAACTATCCTTTCTTTAATGTAAAGCGAAAGGAAGTTCAGCTTCAGTAGATAACTAAATTTACTCATGCCTCCACGAAATTTGAAGAGATGGTTCAAATTTGACAACAAAATATATACTTGAACTCTTGAAGAGATGGTTCAAATATGATGAAAGGGAAAGCAAGTACTTTTAACAGCATGTTACGTAGTTTTCACTATTTTCTATATAAATGAAGCTAATCCATCTGAAATCTGATCACTAAAATATAAAGAAATTAAACCAATCCAAAGTATTCATCCATGTCCTTGATCTGGCTTTACATACATTACAAGTCTGAAATCTAAAAGAGTTAATATATCCAAGGTTCGAGATTAAACTTTGCTTCATCAATCATAAAAAAGGCAAATTTACTGTTTCCCACAGCATCATAGAGGATTCTTTGCTAACACATATTCGCCATGTTTCTGAAAAACTCAACATAAAAACCAAGACAATCGACCTAGTTAATGTAGAACAGATTTGCTCATTAATAAAAAAACTCAAAAACAGGTCTAATCTTTCCATGATGAGAAACGCAACACCAGTGTTCTCTTCATTTAGGAAAAATTGAAAATTTCTGGTTTCAAATGCATACATTGTAGCAAAAGATAACATGTTTGTTAATAAGTGAACGGTTTTTGTTTTAAACTTTTGAAACACCTCTCTCAATGAAATTTCTGAATCGACTGGTAATACCCATATGTGTTCTCGTTAATAATTTTTAGTTCCACATTTCCACACATGCAAAGTTAAACTTCCACGCATCACACACCACATTATGCACATTTTATTTTATAACAACAAATTGATCATCACACCCTGAAATATGATATACTTATGGCCTCTGTCATCCTATAGTAATAATAAAAGAAGTGAATGTCAACCATTGATCAATGCACTATTGCCATTAAGGGCTATTGGAATATCAGTAGAGAAATAAAATTGGGCATTTTAGACCCATCATATGAACCAGCCTGGAAAAAACAGATGAATACATACAAGATCCTGTTGACTTGCTCGATCTGAAGTTTCATATGGACCTTAAGCTTAAACCTCAGTAAGATATGGTCACTTCATGCTATTTAAATGATAATAAAACCTCTCTCATCACCTCACAGTCCTCTTCTTTGGAAAAAATATGATCGATACATTCAGAAGTAAGGAGTATAAAATAACATCAAATGGACTGCATCACAAACATCTAGGGCTGGACTCGGGCCGGTTCGGGCCCGGCCGGGCCTCGGGCCAGGAAAGGGAGGCCCGAGCCCGAACCGCCGGTGGCCGGTTCCGGTCCCGGTTCCGGGCCAAACCGGGCCGGGCCGAACCGGCCCAATTAATTTTTTTTTTGTTCTCCTATTTAATCCCCTACCCTTCCCCCTCAACCCCAAACCATCCCAAACCACCTCAAATGGCCCAAAATACCTAATCCAACCTAAAACTTAAAAAAATTTCAAAAAAAAAAATTAAAATCCGGCCCGGACCGGGCCCGAACCGGCCGGGCCGGTTCACCAAAACCTAGGCCCGAGCCCGAACCGCCCAGCAGCCGGGCCGGGCCGAACCGAACCGGTGGACCCACCGGGCCCCGGGCCGGGCCGGGCCAAACAGTAACCGGGCCGGGCCGCCCGGCCCGAGTCCAGCACTACAGACATCTAAGCCAAAAATAATGCTTGGTTCTTTAAATTAGTATGGAAGATGTCACAGTTAGTCTTGTGATATTCAAATACATTTATAGCTAGAAACAACAATTAATATATTCTTTTAATGATAAAAAGGTCCAAATATTCCAAAACGTGTTAAAACCTGCATTTGTGCAGATCACCATACCGGCCTCCTGCAGCCTGCTTACTCCATATGACCATATGGCAATTCAAAAGTTTGAACATATGAACACATTCCAACCATGCTCTGATATTCATCTTTTGGTACAGAGAACATCTCTTCTACGTTTCCTTCTTCCACATCATAAACACATATTCTCCCGTACTCTTTACACGTGATGGTTAAAAGTTGAGTTTTTATATGTGACCGTGTAATACCAATCCCAAACTGGAGATAAGTACTACACATTATACATGTGTCATACGGAGTATAATACTAGGTATAAAAACTTTTAATAAGAACGAATAAGTCAACAAAAATATTCCTATATAATACGAGTGATAGACGACTTGGTGTGCAAATTATACTCAACAATAAACTTTAGCTTGTGCAAGGACGAGAATCCAATAGAACCCCAAACATACATGCAACATAGAGGAGGATCATTAGCCATACCAACATTCCGTCAAGGCCACATGTCCTGGACTCGGATGTCCTACATAGAAAATATTAACACGATATCAAATACTACAAATAGTTTAGCTCAAACTCTGGTACTAAGTATGTATGTTACCTTACTAATAATCAGCAAGCTAAGGGGCTAAATAGCATGAAATCATTTTCCTAATTACTAAAAAAGGAAATAAAAAAAGAATATGAAAATAAGCAGGAAAAATAGAAGAAGTGTAAGAGGGGGCACGAGAGTTGGGCAACCTACAGGGGACGCTGCAGGAAGATAGAAGTTAGAAAGAAAAGGTAAAGAAGAAAAGAAAAATTGGAAAATGATATATGAAGCCTAGGCAGGGTAGAATTATTGTTTGTATAATTTTTTGCCAGAATCGGGGATATTTAGGGCTCACAACATGATCATTATCTCCCGCAATGACTGAACAACCTATGTTCTCAGAGTGGTGAAACCTCTGCTGCTCTGAATATATAAACTTGCTTCATTGCAAATGCTACATATTTAATGAGTTGAGCTTTCTTTTGTATTTGCAATTTACTTTTTATATTTTCATCAGCTCATATGACTTGTTATATTTTTTGCAGGACACTTCTTTTCTTATAATGTTGTACCTCTATTGGCATTAAGGGCTATTGGATTGATGAAATAAAAATATGTATCACTGATTGTATATTTATTAATGACATGTTGATACTCAAATGAAAATTGTTATTCCCAGTCAGAAAGACTACTATACCACGCATAAGGTAGGATTTAAAAATACTCAAAATAACATCAAATAAATATTAACTAACCTGGAAAAAACACATCAATACATATATACACGATCCCTTTGACTTGCTCTGAAGTTTTAAATGTACCTTAAGGAAAAAACTCAGTAAGTCATGTTCACTACTATGTACTATATAGTACATACTATTGTCAAATTAAAAGATATTAGAGGCAAATTCTGTAAACATACCCTGTTCCATCACCTCATAACACTCTTCTGTGCAGTGGGAAAAATAATATATATTCCAAATATAATATCACATCAATTAAATATAAATGCTAGGTTCCTGAAATTAGTATGTAGCAGTTCTTGATATTCAAACACTTATAGCTATAAGCAACGATTAATGTATTCTTTTAATCATATAAGGATTAAAATCAAATATTCCAAAACGTGTTAATTAAAACCTGCATTGGCGCCGATCACGATTCCTCCAGCTTACTCCATATGGCAATTCAAAACTTTGAGCATAGAAACACATTCTAACCCTGCTCTCATCTTCATCTTTTGGTATATGGAAGAACCTCTGTTCTAGTTTGTCTTCTTCCCCATCATAAACATATAATCTCCCGTTGTCTTTACACATAATGGTTAAGTTCTTGCTTTTATGTAGGGAAAAAAATGTGAGGTTGTATATATTAAAGTGCCGCCCAAATCCCAAAATGGGGATGGCAAAGATTGTGACCCAAGACTCTGGGTTCCCATATTCTTTCATAACTGACACTTGAATGACATTCCTCCCTTGATACCATTGACCAATGCAGAAACATCCCTCTATGATTCCTGTACCATATATGTGGTTTTCCTCTTCTAGATTATTCTTTGTAGGGGTGGGCAATTGTTTGAAAGTGTTATCAACCGGGTCGTAATAAAGCACCTTATTGACATGAACTGTTCTGAGAGAAGGACTCCTAATTTTGTCTCTCACTATCCAATGGAGAGTATTGTTGAAGTTGACACCTGCTCTTGTAGTATGGTGTTCATATGGGAAGGACAGTTTTTGCCACCCTTTGTTTTTCAGGCCCGAAACAATCACATACTGATCACCAATTCTGATAGTACTAGACTTACAAGAAAGCAATAAGACAACCTTGTACTCATTAGAGGATGGGTCGTAACAAAGCCCTCCAAGCTCCTTCCATGTAAGCATATGGAGCCGTGGAAGCTCAAGAACTTTGGTGGAACGTCTTACAAGAGGGTTCCACAAGATAATGTGTTTTTCAAATATAAGAAGCACTAACCCATTACAAGAACACAAATCCCGATCCGCATCAATACTGTTACGAAAACGGTGGGCCGTTATGGCGCAGACCTGAGGCTCAACAGTGAACTGGGATGTGTTTTCAGTGCGAAGATCAAGGCGTATTGATCTCACTTTCAGACGTTTTGCTTCATGGATATCTTTTACACGCGAGAGGATGAGAAGACGGGGCTGCCCGATGTGGAAGGCTTTAATGTCTTGCACGAAGGAATACCACTCTTTGCTGACAGACTGGGCTGTGACCAGATGCCTGCCTTCCAGCCTTAAGAATATGTCGTGGTTGATCTCGGACGGAAGGGTTGACAGTGGGTTCCGGAGACTCATTTTGATTCTACGAAGAGAGGGGATCAGATATGGCCGGCTGCGTATTAATGGAGAATTTAGGGTTGGATGAGATGCACGCACCTTAAACCCTGTTTTTCCGTAAATCAATTTATGCTCATCTGCCGCTCCAGGAAGTCTACACTAGTGTGCCTCCTCCATCTTCAACGTTTGCCTACTGGTTTCAATTCCACCTCAGTTGCTTTTGGGCGGACATGGTCCGGGATGGAATAAGATTTGGGTTATCCAATACCTGTCCAGGATTAGGGAGGGGTTGCTATTGCTTGAGCCTCTTAAAAGTGATTTGTTTAAAAGATTATTGGAAAAGTGATTTAATGTAAAAGTAGATAGTGTTTGGAAATAGAAATGATTTTATTAAAAGGTAAAAATGGGAGTGTTCGATAAAAAAGTGATTTTTTTGGAGTACATTGTAAAAGTATAAATTTACCCTTCCCAATTAAATACCATGGACCCGTCTCTTTCCTCGACCTTTCCTTTCATTCCAGCAAGCATGCTCTGTGTTCAACTAGCGAGTTCCAGATTCTATGATTTCAGCTTCTTCTTTGCACAATCAGATTCGGAACTTCAATTTCAGGTTTTAAATGGAATATAGAGTTTAGCTTCCATGCTTGAGATTTTCTTACGTTTCATCATTTCAGTTTGTTTTAAAATGGAATATGGGTTTCAGATTATAAACGGGAATATTTCTTGGCAACTTTAATTCCAACGTTCTCACTTTCACTTATAGAGGAACAGAGGCAATGGAGGGGAGAGCGGTGATTCACTGAAGTAATAACAAAAACCTGAATTGCGAAATACATTGTGATGGGAGACGATTGTGGCGAAAGAAAAAAACAGAAACCTGTAGTAGTAGGCCATCAACATTGCGGCAATTCGTTGAAGAGAAGGACTCAATCTTGACATTTGCAGTGACACAGTTTGGGAGAAGAAGCTGAATGACGAACGAAAATGGAGACGGGCGGATGGGTTATAATTATTGCGGGGTATTTTGGGGGTTAGATAATTTTTTTGGCATTATCGTTAGTCATAAAGTTAGAGGTATTTACAATTTTACCTAGAAGCTATTAGAAGCTAGGGTACTATAGCTTTTAGATTTTGGCTTTAAAGTCCTTTTTTAAGCCAAAGTTGGGGTTAGCAAACACTTATATTGGCTTTTTTTAATCTAAAAGCTCCAAAGCACCTTTTCTAAGCAAACAAAAACACTCCTTTAGAATAACCCGTGGAGGAATTAGGGAGGGGCCTAGGGGCAAGTGCCCCCGCTTCTCACCATAGTAAAGTTTAATATTAGTAATTAAGATAAAAATTGTGCTACTGCTATCGAACGAAAAAATAGAGTATTTTTCACAAATATTACCGGAGTATAACTAATGAACAGAATCATGATCACTAAAATTGATATGGTAGTACTTAAGTCATATTTTTGTCCACTATCTTTATTTCAATCATATTGTCATTATTTCAAAAAACTATTAGATATAAAGGACTCCATCGAATACATATAATAATTGTAGTAAGAAATACTATGTACTACGTATAAACAACTCTGAAGTTGTAATGGAGCAAATTCTTATAGTTAGATATGTTGTTATATGATTGCTACATTGTCTTTGAAAAGTGGCTTTTATACTTGGTGTGAATAATGTCAATTCAAAATTAAAGTTCAAAGGTACGAAAAAGGTTCTAATATGCAAGATAGACTTAATAGATTGAAGGCTTTTATCTTGAATAAAAGTCCATACCTGAAAAAATGTGTCAATTCACGATACTCGTAAAAGGTAGATATATAGAATCATATTATTAAATAAAGTTGTATTAAATGATAAAATTCTAAACTTGACTTATATTTCATTTTTAACACGATAGTATTATATTTGAGACAAGTACCAACAAATTTTGTGGCACAATATATAACAACGACATGATCCTAATTCAAATATGAAATCTTGATCATTTTATAGTATGAAAAATAGCAAAAATTCTAATGTAAAATCATAAACGGCGCAAAGATGAGTCATTTCTAATACGCCAAATTATGTCTTTCTTTTAAAAAGTCAAATATTATTGTTTAGAATTGTCTTAATGAGTTCAAAATTAGACTTATATCCATATATGTTCACTGCTTGACTTCGGCATTGAATAATCTATTTCCAATTAAAAATATTAATTTGAACGCACTTGACAAAAAAGACCATTGATACACCCAATTCGGCCCGACCCAATCCATTTACATCTATGTGGGAGTGCCCCCGCTTCGTAAAACTTCTGGGTCCGCCACTGAATAACGGTTTGAAACAATACGAGACACAAAATTGTTTTATTATTGTCCCATTTAAATCCGTACCGGAACAAAACGAGACGTTTAGACTTAAAAATATCTAAACAAAATATAATAATTTGCACCACAAAAAAAAGGAAAGTAGTTTGAAATAAAAAAACAACACAAAACAAGAAGACAAACAAAATGTAACACAACAAATAAAATAGTTCCTAATACAACAACCAAATTAAAACCTAACAGTATAAATGTATAATACTTTCCGTAATCCTTGAAAGATTGACATCTTTAATTTTTTTTGACAATCAAGTTAAACTTTGACCAGTGATATATTTTTAGGAAGTGTAAAATTAATAACTTTCATAAAATTGTATTAATCAATATCATTTGTCAAAGTTTATCACCGTTGACTCAAAAAGTCAAAGATACCAATGTTACTCTCTCAAACCCATTTTGTAAAATATGTTTCATATTCACTAGGTCAACACAAATCACTCTGAATCTCTTACTTTATATATCAAAATTTTATCAATTTTTGCGACTTTATAAAGTTTTTAATGTAGTTTATGAATATGTATTTTTTTAAAAAAATAATTTGAGTGCACACAGGATGCGTTTGCTTTAGCGTCGGGCAAACATCGTAAACCAAGTGTCTAACAATTCGAGACGGAGGGAGTATAAGGGATGGAGGTAGTTTATTTTTGTGCATGTATAAGTTACCGGAAAATTATCCACATGCCACTGTGACATGTTTTACGGAGGCAGTGGCATGCATCCATTAGTGACATGAAAATTAGGCAGTGACATCTACTAGTGAAATGAAAATTTTACAACGACTTCATGTCTTCCAAAAAATATGACCCCGTTAGCTATGGTGCTTTTACTTGAATTGTTTTTAGTCCCAACAAGATCAGCCTAGACCAGACTTAAACATACTAGACCAGACTAGACTTTCATAGTTATAAAATACATTGAGAGCAAACATTTACCAAACCAACCAAGATAAGACCAGACCAGACTTAAACAGACCAAACCAGCAAATTATTGTCCAAGTAAAAATATCCTTAGTTAGGGGTGGGATCGGGATGATCCCGATCCCGATTGCCAAAATCTCGATCCCGATCCCGATTCCAAATATAAGAGGATCCCGTATCCCGTCCCGATTAAGTCGGGATGCCGACATTAAAATTAAAATCCCGATTAAGTCAGGATCCCGACCGGGAATCCCACTTAGTCCCGACAATGAAGTAGCAAACAAAAAATTATGTAAATTCTTAGTTAAACACTAACTTTGATATTTAGTGGTTTTAACATTATTCTTTGGTCATTATTATATCATATTTATCATCATCTACTTATAAAATAATTTGTAATAATTATCATCTCAAATTTACACTAGTACGTACTTTTAGAATAATATTTATTTATAACTTCAATTAATTAATAGTATAATTTTTGAATAAGCTATCAAGGCTTGGTGAAGCTTTGTTATTCTCAAACTCGTTGAGAAACTTTGTGATTAATGAATATAATGTATGAATACAATATTATGATTATTTACTAAACATATATGTCTTAGTCTCGATCACGATTTTTTAAAGAGTTATCAAAACCGCAAAAAATGTAATATTATTGTGATTTAGATTGTCGGAATCAAGAATAATATCTATTTAGTTAGAATCCAGAATATTCAGTTTGGGACAAATGTCGAATAATTTTAGAAGTTTAATATTATAACATAAAAGATTAATCTATTTAAGGAATAAGTAAGTAAAAAATATATGCAAATATTTAGATACATATTCATTTTTTATAAATGTATATTCTTTTTTATAAATTCATATAGCGTGGGGATGTTGAGATTCTGCCAATCCCAACTTTTTTAAAAAAAATCCCTGCCCCGTCTCGACTTAGTTGGGATCAAGAAAAATTCTCGACTAGTCGGGATCAAGATTGTCGGGATCAAGATTGTCGGGATCAGGAATATCAGGATTGTTGGGATCAGGAGTCGGGATTCAAGAAAAATTTCCACCCCTATCCTTGGTCACATTTTTGTCCATAAATAAGACTGACCACTTTTTTAGAAATTAACTTGAATTTAGTCATATTTATGGAAAACCCTATTTTAAAAGAAATTGCCTTTATTAAAATAAATTGAAAACAAGAGTGTACATCAAACTCAACTTGAGAACCCAAACTCCCTCTAGACTCAATATCCGAAGATCCTCTCACTCTATGATCAGACATAGAATTATTCCTACCTGAAAGAGAAAGAGAAGGCCAATTCACTAACCATGTAAGAGTTTTGAAGACAACTTATTCCCCTTGAGCCCATAACATTATTAAAAGCAAGTAACTAAAAACAAAACAAGTACTGATTAGAAAACTAAAATAAGAACCCACAAAAACTCTTCTTAATTTGCCAACTTGCCAACATCCATGTCCGGCCCCAACTATCACTATTCTTCTGAACTAGAAATCTTGGCGAGCCGACTCGACTTTTTTTGGCTCCTGAATCTCAATTTTCATGCATGCATTTGCTTCAGTTGCCTCATCAGCTTCCAAACGTCGAAAAGAAATTTTGTCCAGAATTAAAACACCATGACTTACCCGAATATGTTCTAACATATAGTTCTCCTTCCCGTATTTCGAATTTAAAACACCATGACTTATCTTTTTGGTTATGTTTTGATTATCATGTTTTAACAATTTCTCTTTAAGAAAAGGAGAATATAGATTGAGTGAGATTATATATAACAAAAAATGACTTTGCACTCAAAATGATTTGTAATATAAGAAGAATAATTCATCGAGTGAGTGGGTGTACAAAAAAAATTGCTTTCTTCTTTTCTTTCAAATGAATCATTCCCCCCCCCCCCCTTTAGGGGGTCTGTTTATTTTATTATCTGATTTTCTTTTAATGTTCATCTATGTCAACAAGCTTACCTTTTCCTGAACAATGACATAAAAAAATCTAACTAATAATGTCAAACATTTGTTTAAAAATATGGCTGCACATGTTGAACTATACAATCAAACAAACTCTTGAATCAATGAGAACGTGAAATGCGAATTTATAACTCTTATCTTTAAACAAACCAATGGTTTTAGTTCTTCATTATGCTTTGCAGTTGTCAACCTCTACTTTATGAACTAAGATGATTTATGATGGTCTAACATCTATATCATCATTTTGAAATCAAAGGACATTATTATATAGACTCCCTCATCAATGCATTATGCACACTATTATATAGACTCCATCTTGATGGTTATGAGTAGTTTCTTCATTTACTTGAATGGTAGAAATGTTCACTTACTTAGTGTTAATATTTTTTTTTTGGATGAACTGTAAGTATATATAAGAAACCATCCAAAGGAGTTTAAATGTACAATCAAAAGGGTAGGCAAAAATGTAGGCTGCCCAATAGTTGGATAGCCCAAACCTTCAAACGGAGCAATCTATTCTAGCTAATCTCGGCCCAAGTAAAAGGCAGCAATATTGTTGTCAAAAAAGCATCAAAATATGAGGATAGATGCGATACAAAACTTTGTACACAATGTACTTAATCCTAGCAAAAATATCATCTTCCATGGGCAAAAAACCATCAATATGGTGGCATTACGGATCCTCCAAATCCAATATATAGTGAAGCACAAACCAATCTGTGCAGCTTTGGATTTAATTCCAGCTCCTTTTCTTTCCTTCAAGATCCACTTCACCGAGCTTGCCAACGTCCCCCTAAGCCGCGGCATATGCATCCAGTCCTTCACCATCTTCCAGATTTTACCTGTAAATGAACATTCAAAGTAGAGGTGTGGAACCGTTTCCGGTCCACCCTTGCATAAGACACAAGTGTTAGCTACATCCAATCTATAAAGATTGTCACAAGTAGCCAACCTATTCCGGAATGCCAACCAAGTTGTAAAGGAAAACTTTGGAGGAATATAATTCTTCCATATAAAGGACATCCATACTCGGCTCGGTGCTTTGCATCTAAGGAGATTATAGACCTTAGAAGAAACAAGTTTACCTCCAGTTTGGAAGAGAAACAAGTTTACCTCCAGTTTGGAAGCTTTGTAAACAATATATGGAACTTGGTATATCATCAAATCTTGCCACAATATCATCCCGGATCAAGGCAATTTTCTTCATTAGTCGTGAGTCCCTATTGTGTGGGGAAAAGTCCCACACACTTCGGCCATTAAGGTATACATTATGAACCCATTTGACCCATAAAGTGTCCTTTTTGGAATGAATATCTTAAAAGGTTTTAGCAAGAAGAGCATTGTTCCAAACCTTGGTATCATGTATGCCAAGTCCACCATCCTCTTTGAGAAGGCAAATATCTGACCAAGCAACCCTAGAATACTTGCATCCCCCAAAGAAAGATGCGACATATGGCAGTAATTCTATCCAAAACAGCCTTAGGTATAGGAAACACTTGGAGCCAAAAGGAAAGTACTCCTTGTATTACAAATTTGATCAATTCAATTCTCCCCGCATAGGAAAGAGTTTTAAGATTCCAAGCACTAATGAAAGTACTTACGGTATCAATTAGAAGAGCATATTGAGTTACTGATATCTTGAGGGGAGCTAAAGGAACTCCAAGATATTTAACCGGAAAAGCACCAACCTTAAAATCAACAAGGTCAAGAATGTTATCTAGCTCATGGTTAGCCAAACCACCTAAGAAGATGTTTGATTTGTCATGGTTGACCCTAAGGCCAGATATGTTACCAAATTCTTCTGAAGTGTCAATGAGAATCTTGATAGAAGGGGCATCCCCTCTAGAAAAAAGCATGAGGTCATCCGCATATGCCACATGAGTTATTTTCAAGCTACCACATTTAGGGTGAAATTTGAACCTTAGATCCTTAGTTCTTTCACTCAAGAGCCTGGAAAGGTATTCTAAACATAATACAAAGAGGAGCGGGGACATGGGGTCTCCTTGTCTCAAACCCCTCTTACCATCAAAGTGTCCATGGAGTACACCATTGATTGATATAGAGTATGATGGAGTGGTGACACACTCCATAATCCAGTATACAAGTTTGTTTGGAAACCCCATATGTCAAAGCACATTTTGGAGGAAATCCCATGATATAATATCATAAGCTTTCCTAAGATCAACTTTAATCATACATCTTGGTGAGGTATGCTTTCTAGCATAACCTTTAACCAGTTCTTGAGCAACAAAGATATTATCAATCATTAGTCGTCCATCCACAAAAGCCCCTTGGGCAGGATCAATAAGGTCAGGTAAACAAGGGATCATCCTGTGAGAAATAATCTTTGTAGTGACCTTATATAAGACATTTGTACAAGCAATCGGCCTATAATCAACCGGGGTAGGAGAATGAGTGGTCTTAGGTATTAAGGCAATAATCGTGTGGTTTGTTTGTCTTAATATTTTTCCAGAACCAAAAAAGCCTTTAACAACCCCAATAACATCATTTCCAACAATGTTCCAGTTTTTCATTAAAAAAAAGCTGAGGTGTACCCATCAGGGCCAGGGGATTTATCATCCCCAATATCAAAAATGGCATTTCTAATCTCTAAATCAGTGATAGGAGCAATGAGGTTTTCACCAAGTTGATTAGTCACACAGTTTCCATTCTTGATAATATCTGGATCCAAACAAGAGTAGTTATGATACTGAGTACCAAAAAGAGAGGAGCAAAATGTGACAAATTCATGAGCAACTTGATCAATAGAGGTGGTAATAACTCCATTTGAAAGCTTTTGAGAATTTGAAACTGTTTAGAATTTGAAAAAAGTTTTCATCCTTAAGCCACATGTTATAGAATTTGAAAGGTTTAGAACCTTTCATGTGAGATTGACCAATGGTAACATGAGATGCTACATGATCAAATTCCACCTCCATGTCATGAAAGTGAGTAGTACATACTACATTTCGGGAGCTCGAATAAGAGTTCATGAGAACTCTATCCAATTTCGCCCAAAGAGAGCCTCTATTCCAAGTAAGGAAATTACCCGTGGAAGGGGTATCAACAAGGTTTGCTTGGATTTTAAGATCATTTAGGTCTTGTATGTAATAAGCCGGGGGGGGTACCCACTCTCTCATTTGGGCTTCCAACACAATTAAAGTCACCCATTACTAGTCAAGGGCTAGTAATGTTTGGTTCAAGGCTAGCAACATGCTCCCAAAGTTCCTTTCTTTCTAAAACCGTGTATAGAGCATACACAAATGTGATAAAGAACTCAAGTTGTGTAATTCTACACTTAAGTTGACAATGGATGTGTTGTTTGTCAACCTCAAGCACATGTATATCCACAAAATTAGGATTCCAAAAAATAGCAATACGGCCACCATCAATATTATCAAAGTTAGTAATGGAAGACCAAGAAGGCAATCTATTAGATCTAAACTTCTCAAATTTGGTAGTGTTCAACTTAGTCTCAAGTAAACAACAAACATGTAGGTTGTTAGCACGAATAAATTCATAAATGGTGTTTTGTTTGGAGACCTTATTAAGGCCTCTAATGTTCCATGCGGACACAAACATTAAAATGTTTAAGTGGTATTTCTCCTCCCCCCTCTCTTTGGTCTCCAAACTTCTTCTAGGTCCACTCTTGGTTTGTACCTATCAATATAAAGCAGTTTATATGGGTATTTAATAAACCAAGTTGTAAAGGCATACCTTTCCTTCGTAGCAATAACTCCAGGGATCCCCTTGAAGCATTTGAGGGTGAAAGTTAGGCCGACTGTTAGCTCATCATCAATATTCCTCAAGTAGTTATCAAGCATTACCATCTTTTCTTGGACATGTTCCCTATGAAAAAGATGTATGTTTGCTGTATTATCCTCACCAAGGTCCAGCTTAACAATTACATCATCACGATAAGCCTCTCTAATGTCCTTAACAATTCGAACTCTTTTGAGATCATTCCTCTTAGGGTGCTTTACTTTACTAGCATTACCCCGAGGGCAACCATCTTCATAATCTCTACAAAGATAATGTCTATAGACACCTCGCATGAATAAATGGTCATAAGCATATCCTTTCTTAATTGGTATGATTGCAGGAAGGCCCTCCAGGCATTCCTTAGTAAATAGTACTCCGGGATCAAGCCCCTTAACCACTTCAAGATTATGGTCAATCTTGATAATAGTAGCCTCTTTAGCCACTTCCTTTTCATGAGTGACTTTGATAGTAGGCATTAATGTTTCCTCGGTTATCATGTTAACCACAACCTCATCTTGGTAGGCATCATGGAAATTGTTAACAACACGAATTGGTTCATCTTTTTCATGATACTCGGATGTACCTCCTTCACCCCTTCTTGGTTTCTTTAGACTAAGTTTAAAGAATCTAAACTTCTTAAAAAAAGGGTGGTCTTTATGGTTGATCCTCTCTTCCTCTTTTTGTTGTTGGACTTGCTCCTTAATTGTCAACTTCTTCCCACCTTCCTTCTCGCCTTGGTCCTCTTTATCCTTCTTTTATATATTAGCTAGTACCTCACAAGTAAAAGCTTGATGACCCAAGCATTTGCAATGAAAACAATAGTTTGGAAAGGTTTCATACCTCACCCATTGCTTGTGTATCTTACCATTTGGCATTTTGATGGGAAAGTGTAGGGGATGGGGTTTTGAGGCATCCACCTCAATTAAGACCCTAACAAATGAAGATCTCGCTTTTTCAAGCGTGACTCTATCTGTGGTAATAGGAATCCCCACTTTGGAAGCTACTTCACTTATGATCTCCTCCTCCCATATACCCATGGGTAGATGTGGGAAATGTACCCAAATGGGTACCTTTAATAACTCCTCATCATCCATAGAAATGTCATCCGAGAGTACCTTTAAGTGTACAATTTTTCCCATGAGAACATATGGACCTTCCATTAGAACCTTGGTTCTATCTTTCTCGTTTTAAAATTTGTATATGACCCACCCCCTAACTTGTGATTTCACAAGGCATGGAACACACCACTTTTGCGTGAAATTATGGATGTTTTTCATTCCAGGGAACTTTCCATCAAAGTAAGACACAAGGCAATGTCCCCAAAGTATAGTCATAGGAGTCATTTTTCGATTAGAAAGATCAATGATATCTCCTTTTGGTTCAATGTATCTTAGCTTCATGCCTTTATCAGGTTCCCTATTGTCTTTAAAGAGTGAGACAAAGGATTTAGTAAGCACGGTTTTGTTCCACACATTAGGAACTGGAAGGGTAGGCTCCTTGTCCAAAGATTGGACTAACACCACGGCATTAGATTTGTCAAATGGTACAAGTATCCCATTTGTGTCATTTCCCTTTTGTGATATGGTATTAGCCTTAGCCGCCTCTTTTTCCAAAATATTCTCAACAAGAGGGTCAAGAACATATTCGGTTTCCTCATGTATCTCATCAACGATTGGTTCCTCATTAACCTCATTTATAGGTTCAATATCGGTCTCAACAAGAGGTTCATCAATGACCTCTATATGTTCAACAATTTGTTCCTTAGTTGTTTCATTTTCAATTTGGACAATAGGAGAAGAAGTTACCTTAACCATGTCAGGGTTGTCCTTTCGGGTAGATTCCAAGGTAGATTTTATGATAGGTTCCATCTTTGATGAGCTAGACTCCTCGAGATTTTGGGATAAAGCATCCACAAAACTTGGGCCTTGCGAAGTGTCCTCTATATTCTCAGCAATCTCCTTTCTTTGGGACTTAGCCTTAATCCGCGAGGAGGACTTGGTAGGAGGGGCAGGGGTTTTCTGCTTCTTATGCCCCATAGTACTACTGAAGGGGAAGCTAAGAGGTAGCAACCCCCTCTAGA